GTGAATTTATGGGATAAAAAATAAAAATTATAGTGTTAAATTCTAATTTGGACAATTTTCACGGACCATGGTTGATGGAAAAAAATTTGGGGAGATAGAAATTTTATCTGAAAATTTATGAAGAAAAGAACGTATTAGAAAACAACAATTAATTACTAGTTCGCTTAAATAATATACAGTTTTATTTTTAAACATTTTTAAAAGTAATTACATCATAGAATGGTATATCGTTAGTTTCATTTTATATAAAGTAATAATAAAAAATAATGTGTTAATATAAACATTTTACTATTTACATGAATCAAACAAAAACCGAATTTTAGAAAAGACTGGCATGCATATATTCGGGAAAAATGTTATTATTCAAATTAAATTATTTAATGGGGTAAATTCTTTCAATTTAATAAACAAAATATATCATAATTTAGTACATTTTATTATAATAATATGATTCATTTAAAAATAAAAACTGTAAAAATGTGTTATTGAAAATATGATGTTCGAAAACAAATACAATACCGAACTAATATCGGTATGAATACGCTAATTATAATTTTATGTTAATTACACTTTGTTATGAGTTATTAATATTGTACTATTATTATTAAATCAGAATTTAAACAAATTAATTTTTATAGAATTACATATTATTTTATAACTTATAACACATTGAAAAACAATCCAAACCAAACACACATTAAGAACTATTCAATTACTCTTTTTCATGTCAATTACTTTATAAAATGAATTCAATTTTAAAACAAAAATTATGGGTTTATATTTAATTTAATAATAAACAATAATTTATTATAATTTAACAAACAACATCTATGTTTGAAATTATTATTATAATGGCACATGATATACCTTTAAAAATTATTTCTCTTTTTGAATACTTTTGTGTTAAAGGATTGTTATCGTGTTTACTATTCAAAAATTATAAATAATATATAATTTATAATAAAAATACAATAATATAGTTTATTCTTTATCCTTTCAATTTTGAATAAAAGTTGTTGAGAACTTTATTATTAAAATCATCAACACTTTTATATTTTATTATTTATTGTTTTTATTTTATTATTATTTTTTTCTAAAATAAATCAAAACAAACATACACTATAACACAAAAAAATAAAAAAGTCAAATTATCTACTTCATCTATGTTTAAACACAAATGGAGTTATCAAATTCATCGTACGCACCCTCTGAATCATCTTCTTCAAATATTTCTTTCTTTTCAAGTTCTGCAATTGTGACTTTTCTCTTTCCAACGAATTGTAAATCTTGCTTATTTTCTTCTTCAAAATCCTCTTCGAGTTTTTTCATTAACAACGAAGCGTTCCGAGCAATAAACTTGACTCTTGTTATATACATCTTTTCTCTTCCTTTTGTTATTGTTTTTTGATACCTCCTAAACCCTGCCCGATTGAAAGCACTCATAATGTTAAGACCACTTGTTGCTCTATCCCAGGAAGTAACAATTGATACAATTCGTGTTGTCATGTTACTCAAAGCAAACTGTTCTAATTGTGCTTTGGTAAGAGTCCCGTTGTATAGACAATTTAACACTTTTGTGTGTTTTTCGTTTTCGCACTTCTTTCTGTTTTTTTGAGAGTGGCCAAAACAGTAGATACTTCCGTTGATTCAATCGGTCTTGCTCCATCACTTTCTCCATCCCTTTGAATTGCGTTTTTTAATTCTGGATAATGTATCCATTTCTAATAGTTAATTTTTCAATTAATAAACTATATAACAAACTTTTTGATTTCCAAAAATTACCAAATCCAAAGGTTGTGTTAAATGACTCGAGTGTGGACACAGTTTAAGAATCGCAATTTTTCTCTCGTGGAATCCTTTAATGGCTTCATCAGTGAAATGCGATCCCAAACCATCCATTATTAGGACTCCCCACTCTCTTCTGTTGTTCTTTTTACGTTCTTCAAAGGCAGGAAATAATATCTTTGTTTTCCACAACAAGAATATTTCTTTGGTCATGAATCCGTTATCTTGATAGACAATGACCATTGAATCTAACATGAAGTATTTCTCGATTTCATTGTCTATTGTTTTGCGTGGCACTATCAACATTGGTTTGAGTTTTGTTGAATCGCCCCAAATTCCTGCAACAAGACTTATTCGTTTGACCGCTCTGTCAACGGCATGTTCTAATTTGAATGGTTTTGTTGGGTCACAATACACTGTCCGAGATTTTGTGTCAACAAAAGGAACAAATCCTGATTCATCCATGTTAAGAAGGAGTAATGGATAGACACCAGACAGTTTTATAGATTCTTTGGAACAATATTTATGATCATTGATGAGCAAAGTCTCAGCTCTTTCTATGTATTTCTTCAATTCATCATTGGATAAATTTGCTCTTGCCTCCTCCATTGGTTTAGACTCATGTGGGTTAATTTGTGTGTGTGTTTTCTCAACCAGTCCAATATTTGTCGTCTTGATAGATTTTTTTTCAATGTCAGATTAACAAAATCTGTGATTGTATCTCCTGTCGCCTGTTCTGGAATGTTTTGAAGGCGTTGTATTTCTTCAACAATTTTATCCTTTTCTTCTGTTGTAAATAGCGGCAATTTGCCACCTTTTGAAGTATTTGTTTTAATTGGAACTGTCGATCTTTTGCCATATGACATACAAGTATTGACATTGGCATTTATAATTTTAGAAATGGTATCAAATGAAATTTGTTTTGAAAAAAATCGTTTTACGCAAGTACAAAACATGTTCTTCAAAAAGTTGAAATTGTTTAAAAGTTTCTTCATGTTCATTTATGAAGGTTACAATTTCCTTTTTGTTTTTTATATTATAGGAAATCAACTCCGTTGAAATTGTTTGAGAAGAAGTGAATTTATCGTGCTTTATCATTTATAATTGTTAGATTAAATTTTCGTTTGTTAACCACATTTTAAAAGCCAAATTGTATATAAAATAATTTATTATTTTAACCAACTTTAATATAAGATGTGTCATTTTAAATGACACATATTGTTAATTTTTTGTTGTGGGTTATGTTTTAAGTAAAAATTTTATTCTCATTATACTACCAATTGTAATATGGGTTTAAAGCTCCAGTACCATTATAATACAATCATATGGATTGGAGTTATGATATGTCATTTTATTGTGTTTTAAAAAGATGTGTTTGAAAATATAACACATCCCATCATTGTTCTTGTTTTTCTAATAAATTATTAGCCCATTATTACTATTGAAATGATGTTTTGTTGAATAATATGTTTGATGTTTTGTTATTTCTTGAATTTTTCTTGAATAGATTTATGGGAAAAAAAATTCAAAAAGATGGTTCTACAAGTTTATAATGTGTTTTATTGGTCAAAACAAAGATTCAATTGCTTAAAGAAATTACAATTAAAAAATAATGATTTTTTTACTCTTTTTCTTCTAATATTTTTTATGTTTTTTGTTTTTAAAATTGTTATGTAAACCAGTGCAAGTATGTAGCAGGTCTTTATGTATTTTTTGTTTGACACAAACGACAAACTATTACCATTAATTTAATTTACTATGTTTTAAAACTATTATAAAAACATGGAGATTTGTTATGGCTTTTCAAAACTACATAAAACTATAATTTCTATTCCTCATTATTTGAATGGTTTTCTTTTTTACCATCATTTTAGAATGTGTATAGTTTGGACGATTTTGTGGCTAGCCATTTTTTTATCACTACTGGCTGACAAATCCTAATTAATTTATTGAACAAATTAATAATAATAGTTCCAAACACAAATTCTGGCTGAAAATATTTAAAAATTAACACGGGCTAGCCACCAGTTGAATCCGGTTTGCAGCCCTGCTTTTAGCGGGTGACTATATATATAATATTATATATTATATAATACTATATAATAATGCTATAAATACAAGAAATGCAAAATAAAATTATAATAATAACAAATTTATTAACTTGATTGTATAATAATGAGCTAAAGACATAATGTACATAGATAAATATCAACACAATACGTATCATTGGAAAGTCTCGTTGATGAAGTCTTTGGTTTCTTCTTTAATAAAAGAATAATACTCAGTGGGGTAAAACGAAACACGAGTCTCAGTATTATTTTCTTTGAAATACTCTGTCTTTCCATCCATTAAATATTCAAGACATTCCACCATTTGTGAGTCATGTGGAACAAGAACAAAATCTTTTTCTTTCATTTTGTTGTTGAGGTATTGATGAACAAAATTCCCCGAAAGTAAGATTTCCTTTTGAGAGATTTTTTTCGTTTTGTCATCCGTTTTTACGGTTGCGCTTTTCACTTTTTCGATTTTGTCAAATCAAAAATGACACCTTCAGATTGCAGAATTGACATTGACGTCGAGAAGAAATCGTCTTCTTTCGTTGAAGATTGTTGTTTGTCACTTGTTTCGTTTTTTTCGAAATTTTCTTTTTGTTCCTTCGTGTTGATTTTATTGATTGCAACGATCTTGAAAATCTGTTTTTTTTTCAAAATTTTGTGGGGTTTCTGGAGCACAACCTCGTAGCCGAAGTGACTCATCAATAATATTAGAAACGCTTGTTGTGCACTTTCAGTTAGTTTATATAAGCTTGGTTGTCCGATCCTCTTTGGGTCTTCTGGTTTTTGAAAGGTTTTTGCACACTCTGAACTTAACGAGCTTTTTGAGTTTTGCAAAAGTCCAAAGTCGTCAATTAGTGGAAGGGAGATTTTTCCTTTTTTTTCTTTAAAATTTTCAATTTTTTCGTATAACATTTCATATACCATTTCGCTGGGTCGTTTTGCGTTTGATGTTAAAAACGGTGTTAGTTTTGTTGCTTTTCCAAACGTGTGTGTGGGAAAGTAAGATTGTTTTTTTGAGGGGTTGGTCATCTTGGTTATTTATTGTTTTAAAGATAAATAAGGAGTTCTTTTATTTATTATTAAGATAGTAAAACTAAAATTTATTATTAAAATATAACATTATAATTTTTTTATATTTTTTCATTATTTTTATTTTTTCATATTATTATTATATTAATTAATATTTATTATACTACTATAATATATTATTAATTAAATTAATATTAAAAATTCAGTATTAATAATATATAATATAATAATATATATATATTACTAGAAATATTTTAATTTATATAGTATTTAAAATTAATATAATAATAATATAAGACTAATACATTAAATTATTAACACCAATTATTTTTTAGTTAAAAAAAAGTGAGTACCAAATATCCTTTCATTTAGACAAATAATCACCAAAATTATTATTCGTCACAAAATAATCTAGTAAAGACTCTCATAAATAATAATAATAAGAATAAATAACAAAACTAAAAACCTTAAATGGCATTTCTTCAGCAGAATTATGGTTTACCCGTTCCGCCACCGACACTTTTAGATTCTACTCTTGAATCATTCAAGATACCATCGACGGATCGAACGATTTTATTAACCAAATTATATCAAGAGTCTTTAACAGTGACATCTCTCAATCCGATGATAGTACCTAAGATATTTGACCTTCTCTATCTTCTCCAACAGACTCTATCTCGACAAATGCAATCAACACAGCAAGCTATAGTCACCATATCCTTAATCATTCGATACCTTTCTCTCTTTCTCAAATCGCCAGCAATCACCCAAGAACTTGCGCAACTCTTCCAGCGCTGTTCCGAGGACATCACGCGATATGCAATCAACACCATGAATATCACAGTCTATTCCCACGCTCTTCAATCCCTCTCCGGACTGATAAGGAACAACCCAAGATACTACAACCTCTTTTATTTCTGTTTTAGAGAACTCTGTGTCCGTCCATACACGGCGCGGTTTACGCCAGTTCAATTAGAGAACGTCTCGTTATTAGTCGAGTTCCAAGTGTCGCGAATAGCAACTGTAGCAATGGGGCACAACGCGATGAATACGGTGTTGATGTTATACCCCGTCACTACACTCTTTAGTATCCACAGCGAACCAACCCTCAAATCGCGAGTGCCGGAAAAGATCAGCGACAGATATCCGGGCATCGAAAGAATCTCGACGGGAGATGTCAGCGAGATACTCATAGGGTTAGTCGAGAGGACCTACGACGCTATTGAAAAGAAGGCGATCCGATATCCGTATCGCTATGGGATGAACCAAGAATGTCTGAGTCAACTCTTTTCGTTGTGGAAAGCTGTTGAGAACAAATTGGGGGAGTCCATTCGGAGTGAACAGAATCGCGACAACTTGGAGGAGAAGGAATACAAGGCGGAGGTGACCAGTCTTGCGATGGAAGAAGTCAAAATCGAAGAAGAAGAGATGGAAGAAGTGGTGAATACTAAGATGACTGATTTGAATAAGGATGATACTGTCCTTGGGGTGATTGATTATTCATTGGACGCAATTACGCGAATGTGTACGAACTATGAAAAGGTTTGTGTTACTAGACAAAGAGTAATTAGTGTAATTGAATAAATATATAATAACCGCTAGAGTACACACCCAGAAGAACGCGAGATATGCGAGAAAATAGTGAGCGACATTTTATTGATGTTAATGAAAGACGTTGACATTGAAAATGTACGGATGGAAGGGTACACGTTATGCGAATATTTGATTCACGTTTCGACTAAAGATGGGTGTAGAAACATCAAATTAATAGCATACTTCATGTTCGAGTTGTATGGGAGGAGATTGAATGAATTGTACATGTCGCTCTTTAATAAAGTGATGTTCCAATTGACTCACCCACCACAAGATGGCCTTATTACCTTTTTCAATCTAATTCCTTATATCCCAAAAGAAATAGAATGTCTAGAAGAGATGCTATCGATGTTACGTATACCTAAATCAATGCAAGTGGAAGACACACAACTCGACCAAGGTCTCGGCATTGAAAATTCTTCTGACACAGCCAAAGATGGAACAATCGTCTTTGGCGATCGCTCCGTTCAACTTCCTAAAGTCGAGAAAATTGAGAACGACATGACAGAGAAGAAGGAAGAACCAACTCAAATGGAAATGGTCATTTCACACGACGAAGCAAACATCGAAACGGTGCAAAGACTGATCGGATTTGTCATTCAAATAATCAAACAAACACCACAAAGCCATGTTATTCTTCTTCCATTACTTATTAAGCATTTATACTGTTTACCAGAACATATGATCATTAATGTCATTGGCGTGTTATGCACAGAGATATACCCAGATATCTCCGGTGGGTTATTAGAAGGCGGGAAATCAATTCTTCACATGTGTTGTGAGTCGAAAAACGTTGAATACATTCAGCCGTGTGTCAAACTGATCTTTTCAATGTGTTTGTACAAAACTAATTTGTTAATCGAGTTCATCAAATCGTTAAAGCAAATTCGTGTGACTGAGGAGTTCATGGAAAATTTTGTGGGTGGGTTTCCTTTACTCTTCAGAGTGTTGTTCCACTTAATCAAAGACAACTATCTCGTCGAGTACGTCAACTTTATGACAACGTCGGACGCCGACTTGAACGGGTACATCCTCCCACTCCTCCAGGCGTTCTCGGACTTCTATCTCCCTCTCTCTCCTGAACACGAAATTTCTTTAAAGGTGAAAGCTGTTGTGGACGTTGTGTTGTCCAAATTCATTGCTTCTCCTGCAGTGTATTTCCCATTTGTTATTGTCGTCTTACCAGTTGTTATCGTGCCACATATGAAAATGATTTTCTGGTGGATATTGACAAACTTCGGGAGCAATAAAGAGGTTCTTTCACTTGTATTTGGTCGAGTTTTACTTAGTCAAGCTACGCGATATAAGTTTGAAGATTTGATTGTCGCGATAATGGAAAACAAAAGTGTTCAGCTTGTCGATCAGGTAGAATTGTGTTGTGGAGCTATTATGAATTATAAATACAGCACAGTGTACACAAATGCAAACTTCTCTCAAGCAGTCGATGTGATTACTGGAAAGAATTTGGAAACATCCGTGTGCTTGAGATGCTTGTTGTTCGTGTTGAATGTAGGAAAGGATGTTTCTTACGAGGCGCTGAGTGATAAATTACTCAGAACGGTGAAAGGAAGCGATATCACTGACGAGGTGATGCCGATATTTTCCGCTCTTGTTGAAAAAATATCGCCACAGGGTATTAACTTGTTGATGCTTTTGTCAGAGGAAAAGATGAAGAATGTCCTCATAAGCAACCAAAAGCTTCTCAACAACATCACAAACATGCTGCCATCCCAGAAGGCAAAGACTGATATTTCTATCATTAGGACAGCAAATTTGCTCAAAAAATAGAATTGATTTTGTTAAAAATAGATTTTATTTTGCAATAAATAAACTGTAAATCGTACAAAAAATTCTGATCATTTATTTTAAACAAAATTAAGAACATTATATCAGCCAAAACCCACCAAAGACTATCGTCTCGTGCGTCTCGTATGTAACAGTTTCTTGCCCGCTGTCGAAGTAAGTCTCTTTGTAGCAATTTCTCCCATTGCTTGTGTATCGTTCTTGGTGAGTTGTTGTTCTCACCGTTCGGGTGGGAGCTTCTGTTCTGGCTATTTCTCTGTCCGAACCATACAAACGCCTATGCCTGTGGAAAAGCCCTTTGTGTTCGGCATAACCATCATCATGTTGGAGAGAAATTTCAGAAGAACCATTAAATTCCTTGATCAGGCGTTCATCTCTTGTCTCTGTTGCTCTTGAAGGCAAAGATGGGTGTAATTGTTGTTCTCTTACACATTCACACTTGCAACTCCTTTCTGTGTTCGATCCATTTGTGAACCTCAGTGGAACTAAATCTCCCTTTTTGTCAGAAATTTCACGAGAGGGCTCTTTAACGCTTTCTCCAACACTTCCTCTGCACATGACATCTTTTAAGACGATTGGTTTAAACCTTTCAGTCTTCTGTTGTTGCGCGGACGATGTGTTTGTTGCAGTGTGTCTCTGTGCAAGGGAGGTTTGACTTCGTCTCGTTGGAATTGGTGGGAGTTTCTTTTTCATGAGATTTTGGTCTGACTGGAATTTGCAAAGTTGTTTGCCTTCGTCTTCTTTTCTCGGTATCATGACGTATTCCTCCTTTTCTACTTTTTCTTCGAAGCTTTTTTTGTGGTCTTCTTCTTGTCTCCTCGTTTCGGCTTGTTTGAGTTCTTCGGCTTCTCTTTTTCTTGCAATTTCTCTTTGTTGTTCATCATACCTCTCTTGTTTTCCTTTCTCGTCTGCCTGTTTTGAATCCACCGCTTTTTGTTGAGTCCCATTGAGTTGTTGGAGCGCTTGTTCAACTAACTGGATTAAGTCAATGTCCATAATAGTACTCTTGTTCTTAAAAGCGTTCATGAGGAAATCAAAATAAAAGTAGAACACCCTGAAGTCGATATTTTTCGCGATGACATCCTCGGTAGTCAACACCTCTGATACCCCCAACAAGTCGTGTGCCATTCTCATTGAAAGTCCAATTCTTTCGCCATCTCCTTTACTCATCATATATTTATAAAATTCGGTATTCTGTTCAAAGAATAGGTCGAGCAAAGCGACAAGAATTTTTCCGTTGTAGAAATTTTCCATCATTTTGTCGATCGAACTTAGCACCAGTTGGTAGGGATACAAAAGTTCCGTGAGCCATTTTAAGATAATTTCGTTCTGTTGTTTCTCCGTGTTTTGTGGTGCGAGAAGATCTGACTTATGGAACATCATAAACACCTGGAAAAGAAGGCCAAGAAGAAACTTGATCTCTCCACCTCCGTTTACAATGTTCTCTGCTGAGCACAGAGGTTTGATCTTGAACTCCTGTTCTACAAATTTTAGCACGTTTGAACAGTTGGAAATTTTCTGTATTTTAAATCTGGGGTGTTGGACCAATTTCTGTGGCGATTTTTTTCCAGACAACTTTTCAACTAATTGCATCAGAATGATTCCGTCCTTCAAGTCCTCTCCAAGACACGTCACATTAACGTCCGGTGATAGCGTGTTGTTGATCCAATCAACAAAAATTGTCTCTTGCGCCTTCTGCCATTGCGTGTTGATCTTTTTCATGTTAAATTTCCGTCTTTTTTTCCCCTTATATGTTATTTCGTTTTGCCATTGTCAATCTGTATCTTATTTTTTGAGATTTTTTTATTATAATTGATGTAATAAGAGTTTATTGTGTAACATTATTAGATTGTTTGTTTAAACTATAATTTATAGTAAAAATAAAACCAATAAAAAACATTTTTAATAATAATTGTTATAATTTATAATATCACACATTGCAATCATTTCAATATGAATATTATATTTTACTATTAAAAAAAATGAAATAAAAGGTGGAAAGAGAGCTTATATCTTCAGCAAAATTACGCCGAAAGGTGCCATATGACATGTTCCCGAGTAACTTTTTCCAGTGATCAAATCAGTTCCCGACCCGCATTTAGTGTCATACTCCCATGTATTTGTATTAATTAAGACTTGAATTTTATTTGATCCATCTACCTTATCGACCTTATATAATGACCCACTTGCGTCTTGGTTTTGTCTGCTGCCTTTATACAAAGCCGAATTTTGTGCTCTGAGTGTCATAAGCTTCTTAACGAAATCGTGCAAGTCTTGTTGCTTTGCATCGAACCCCGAGATCTTCCCGTCGCTTCGAGCCGCGTTGTCGTTGTAAGCGCCTCCGCAGTCTCCTGGTTTATAGTAGCACTCCACAAGATCTCCAATTTCGTCACCGTAGTAGACCGTGATAGGTCCCGTGTATGTAGCCAAGAAAGCCAAAGCGGCTTTATGTCTTCCCCAATACAGTGAATTTTCTTTTCCATATGAATACTTCTTTCGAATCAAATTACCAAATCTGACCAAATCGTGATTAGTCAAAAACATATTTGGATAAGCATAATCGGGATATCCCGCATTAAAAATGTTCGCCAAATTGGAAGCATCATACCCACCAGCTCCAGATTCTTCACACGCTAAAGTCTGTACTAAATTGTATCGACCAGGAAAGTGGAAACAACTTCGGAGACCATATCCCCCTGATGCATAATATCCCCACGCATTGATATTAGCTGCAGAATCCCAAATCTCACCTACCATATACCCAAGTGTACCCCATTTCTTCCCTTGAGATTTTCTACTATCACAAGTCGATTCAATTAACTCGCGAATGTCTTTCCAATAGTTCCGGTCTTGATTGCGAGTCGAAACTTGATAGGCTTGGTCAAGTCTCCACGCATCAATCTCATAGGTATTGATCCAATACGTCGCTACTTCTTCATAGAAAGCTAAAGAACCAGGATAACTCACAGGGTCATTACCACCAGTAGGATACTTCCCACTCGGAGAAGCAGCTACACTCCCTGATTTGTGATGCCCAAAGACCCCATCTAATATGACGTAAATCCCTAAATTGTGGGCTTTAGTGACTAACTCTTTTAATTCTGCGTTGGTCCCAAACTTGGGATCTACATTGAAATAATCATAACAGAAGTATCCAGTGGAATCGAGTTGACTGTTTCCATTGGAATTGAAAATTGGCGTCATCCAAAGTGCATTCATCCCCAAATCTTTGATGTAATTGAGCGAATTAATTATTCCACGTAAATCACCTTTGTGAGAGGAAGGACCATACCCAGTCCCATACCCTTTACTACTGTCTCCATCTTGGAATGAAGAAACCATCACTTGATATATCCTTAACGTGTTAAATACAGAAGTGTCTATCGCCGAAACATAAAGTGTTAATAACAAGCAAAACAGAAAGACCATGAAATGCAATTTATGAGTCGGTTTTTATATTCAAAAGATTGTATTATAATTGAATTAATTCATAATTAATAATTGCTATTATTTATTAATTGTTTTTACTATATATATCGTTTATAGTAAAACCATAAGAAATTTCAACACATTTTGAAATGGATTTTTTTTAAGTTTGACTTTTTTGTTCTTTTTTTTACCAATTCACCGTTAACTATTAACTAACTATTTACAAAAAGAAGATTAATTGTTTCAATTAATCTTCTTTTTTTTTTATTTTCAATTCTTTTTAAGATATTTGAAATAAAAATAACAATTATTGGAAATGCAATTGACTTTTCCTTTTTTTTAAATTAAACTAAATTAAACCATTATTTAAATAATTTAATAAATGTTTTTTTCAAGTTTTTTTTCTTTCACTTGATAAATATATTCAAAAACTCATTTTAACTTTATTTGGTTAATTATTAATAATGAGATATAGTTTAGGTGTTTTTCACTTTATTACTTAATGCCCGTTTTTTACTATAAAGATATACCCATTTTATGACCATTCAAAAACAAATTAACATAAACTTTAGCATACTATTTTTATTATATAGTCAGTCTTTAAAAGTTATCTGGTGTTTTTTGGACCATAAAGATTGAAATATTTCGGGAAGCCGTCCCAAAAACCCATCTTAATTGTTTCGGGTTTTTTCACGTTTTACCTAATGCCCGATTTTTAGACAATATTAAAGCTATTTTTTGTCCACCAATATAACGTTAAAAGACTGACTCTACTTATAATATTCTATAAGTTTATTTTAAAAAATCATTTAATTCAACTTAAGGGCATGACACTGGATTGGCGTTTTTTAGTGGATTGGTGTATAAAAGGGAAAAATAGACTGAAATATCGGGCACCAAAAAATTGAAAAAAAAATATAATTTTGAAAAATAAGAGATCAATTTTGCCAAAAAGACTCTTATTCAAATAATATCCATTCTCTTTCACGGAGAAGATTAATGATAAACGTGTTTAGGTTATTATTGCCAAGACAGAAACATTTAAAAAAATTCGTAAAAAATAGTATTGTTTTCACATTTTTAAACACAAGAATGTTTTTTTATTTTTCGATTTAATTTTTTGTTTTGTTTTTTATAGTTTATAACGGTATCAGATAAATGATCTTGTTAATGATACATAGTAATGATGAGTAATTTACACTATGATCTACAAAATGTATTCCGATATTCCAAGTATAGTTTTATGTTGGTAGCTGAATTAAAAGTATAGTAAAACAAAAAATGAAGAACTTGAAATAAATTTGGGTAATTTTTTTCAAAATTTTGGGAGATCGCCCTAAAAAGTTGCTGTGGATGGATCGATTTCGGTGGATGGGTTATAACAGCCACATATGGGCTATTACTTCGGGATTATTGGTTTATAGGATTTTTGACGTTTTCAACAAAAACCAAAAATTATATCGGTTATAAAAGTAAATTATTACCTGAGAAATAACACCGACTATAATTATATGACCGTTATAAAAAACAAACAAATAAATATTTTAAAATGATTCTTGTTCGCTCAAAACAATAAACATACTAAAAGTTGAGAATGAAGGTAATCTTTATTAAAAATATATTTCTGTTTGAAGAAATATATTTTCTGCAAACAAATTTGCAGAAAATTTGTTTTTCTGCAAATATAATTAAAACAGATAAATTTTGGTAAATCTAACATTTACTAAATTTCTTTTTTTAATATAAATAATAAACACAACAAAAAGTTAAGTTTTACAAAAAGAAATTAACTTCGTTTTTAACAAAAAAAATCTTGATGATTGAACATGATTTGCTGAATTAGTGATTATATTTTGTTGAAAACGTCAAAAATCCTATAAACCAATAATCCCGAAGTAATAGCCCATATGTGGCTGTTATAACCCATCCACCGAAATCGATCCATCCACAGCAACTTTTTAGGGCGATCTCCCAAAATTTTGAAAAAAATTACCCAAATTTATTTCAAGTTCTTCATTTTTTGTTTTACTATACTTTTAATTCAGCTACCAACATAAAACTATACTTGGAATATCGGAATACATTTTGTAGATCATAGTGTAAATTACTCATCATTACTATGTATCATTAACAAGATCATTTATCTGATACCGTTATAAAAACCAATTTAAAAAACAGTTTTGTTTTGATATTTTTAATATGTTATTTAACGAGTAGTTTTTCAAATAATGAGCAGATAATAATGAACAAATTTAATTGAAATCAATGTATTCATTCAAGTAAAAAATTAACGTTATTGTTTATAAATAGCGTGTAAATTAAAAAAATTGTTAAATTAAAAAAATAATGTTTATAAAAGTATAATTATTAACATATCAAATGAAAAAAAAATGTTGTTGTTATGTGGCAGATTACACCATTTGGTGATATTATTTTTTTAAAAAGAATTATTATTATTTGGAAATGAATGCTTTTTTTTAATGACAAAATTGACTTTATTTTACTAAAAATTATTTGTATCCAGCAAAAAAGCGTGTATCAACTGGATGGACGCTTATCCAGTGGATAGACGTCCATCCACTAGTATGCCCTAAGTTGTTTTAGAGAGATACAAAATAATAATATAATATTATTATAATATATAATATATAATATATAATATATAATATATAATATATAATATATAATATATAATATATAATATATAATATATAATATATAATATATAATATATAATTTATAATTTATAATATATTATATATTATATATTATATATTATATATAATATATAATATATAATTTATAATTTATAATTTATATCTCTAAGTCTTTAGTAATTCAATAAACAATTAACCCACTAAATTATAATAAACTATTAAAAAAAGAACTATTACAATACAGGATGAATTACAAATGAAATTCACATTGATGAAGAGAATGATCTGAAGTGGATAGAGTCGTCTGCCTCTTTCATTTCTCTAATGACTCTCTTTCTGGGGTCTCTTTTTCTCCGAGCTGACTCATCACTAATTGGTAAATTCAATCCAATTTCCTTGACATTTCTGGTACCGAGTTTAGAGTTGTGTGACTCTGTTTTACCCTTTCTGAGTTGGTTTATACAATCGATACCTTCGCTCGAGTCGACGTCACTAAACACAGAAGTTTCCAAGACAAGTGACCGTAAGTTGGGGTCACCTGTTGATTCTTTTCCGATGGTTTGCGAGACGATTTTTTCGATTTTTGTCATGTTTTTTTTGTCTTCTTTTGTTGTTTGAACGCGTTTTGTGTGTTTTTGGCGGACTGTCATCTTCTCACGTTTTGGGTTGAGTTTCTGTTCAACTTTTTCTTTTCGTGGTTTTTTCTCGGTCACATTTTTGATTTCTGTTTTTGGGTGTACAACACGTTGCGCAGCTAATTTCTCGCGTTGTGCCAAGACGCCAAGGCGTTCTTCGATAATTTGATTGAGTTCGTTTTCCTTTTTGCGTAAAAGGTTTGTGGTGATCTCAAGTTCTTGACTCAACGAAGTCACAGTTTGGTGCAGAACCTCGTTGTCTAACTTAATCAATTCCATCTCTTTTTCTTCACATTTTAAATGAATGTACTCATCAAGTGACAGGGTATATAACCTGTTCTCCATTGAGTTTTCGAGTTAGCTCTTTTGTTTTAATGTGTATTTTTAGTTCGTTTCTTCTTCCTTTTTTTCGTAAATGTGATACCTACAAATTGGTTGGTATTTCTGATTGTATAACTTTATTGGAAACTAAAAACACTATTTTTCGAACAACGCTGGTTTCCTGAGTATATTTAAGATGAGCGGAGAATTATTTATACTTTCGACGATATATTATTGGTATTTTCTTATTTCCATTTTAAAAATAAAATAGATTCAATAACGTTCAAACAAACATAATTGAATAATTGGCTTTAGATTATAACTAAAACAAGTTTCATTATCATAACCAGACATGGTTAGACAAATGAACCATATAACAACGTTTAAATAACATGTTTTTAATTAAAAATATAAAGATTTTGTTGAACAATGGATCAAATGTAACAAATGTATTTGATAATATGAGAGTTGAATCAAGTTAATAATTGTTTTATAATCATGTCAGCTATAACAACATCCCATTTTGTTGGGCTTGTCTATGAATGTGTGGAAGATATCTTGAATACTAATTTACAAAAAATGACGACTTTCAGTGTTATTTGAAAAATTAAAAGTGTTTTAATAATTCAGAACAACAACTAAACAATATAAAATTAATGTAAAAAATATTTATACTTTTTTATTCAAAAATAATCAAGTACAAATACCATAAATTGCACTAGAATAAAACAAAAATGATGTGGAAACAATAAACAGCCTTTATTGTCATATGTTTAATATAATTATTTATAACAACATCTATGCTTGCTTTCAAAAAACAATCTTTTTTATTGTTTACAAATTTAAAATAAAACCTATTATTTTTAAAAAATACAGTTTGTTATTTACGTGTTTTACTTTATTATCAAGTCTGCGTTGTAATCCACTGAGTGGATAACAAAACAAACAATTCACCTTCGTAAGTTCTTTTGTTATAACTCCTCGGCAATTTCTATATTAAAGTTATGAATCATCCATTTTCTTTATAAAACTAACAGTTATTAATTCATATTTAGTTTTTTTATAGAAATCAAATAATAATTAAATTATCTATGTTGAACAAATTTACTTTGCAAAGGCTCTTAATGCTTTAAAAATAGATTTACTTTTAATAATTGTACAAATACACAATAAAAGTAATGAAAAAATCCCATATTAAATGTTAAACAAATTCCTTCAAATAAAAAAAACAAATGAAATAACAGTTTCTATGCGAACGCAAACACTTCCACCTTGTCACAACGGGTGCCAGAGAAGTAAGAAGGGAAGAGTGGTGGGTTATTAAACGTTGGTGTTGTTTCGCTGCGACAGTTCAAAACTGCGTCAAATGATAAACTTGGTCTTCCACTAGACATTAGTCGGCATTCCACTTCTAATAATAGATCACACAAACAATACTTAATAGTTATTATAACTATAATTGAAATCTATTTAATTATATATAGAACACAAACTTTCCTCCTCCAAAGAGTAATGCGTGTGGTGTCGACCGAATAATAAATTTGTTCTTTGTGTGTTCCTTTTGAGTGAATTTTCTTCTGAATGGTTTCGCAGTGAAGACAAAAGTCTCTCCATTACCATAATAATCGTTTTTCATGACAAGTTCTTCTGCAACAAACACCCCAAAGACGTGTGATGCTCTTTGGCACAAAAAGAGTAACATACTCGAAAATGTGATTTTCATATAAAGTGTTCGCAAGCTTAATCCATCAACAGATGAACAAAACAAGAACTCCGGCGACACCATTCGAATGCGTTCCGGTAAGAATTTGACAATCTCCGCAAATTCCTTTTCATTCAATATATTCGATGACCCGCAACAGATCGACGGGGACGCACAAACTACCGGCGTCGCTTGACTCAGCATTTCCGGTGGTGGAAACACCAACGTCGATATAAAGTGATTGTGTGTCAAAAATTGGTTCATCGGAAACACCAGCAGTTCCGACACAAATGGACTCGACTCGTTCTTGTGTAACAGCAAAATTTGTTCCGCAGTCGATTGTGTCAACGAGTTGACACTGGTGTAGTCCAAGTTAGATGACTCTTTAAACAAATACAAAAACAACCGCAAAAATCCCACCTTCCCGTTCTGAAGTAAAAACTCGACAATTGGCCGTTTCTGCACCAACTCCAATGAATTCAGAAGCGGCAGAGCAAAGTTCTTCATGCTATTTTCAATAAAGTCTAACACCACTGACTTGTTGTCTGTCTGTAAGCATGTTTCACTATTTTCCATTTATATTAATTAATTTTACTATACTACAATTATACTAAATACTATATATAATATAATAATACTAATACTAATACTAATAATAATAATAATAATAATAATAGTCAAACAAACACTGCTTGATGTGTGGGTGTTGTAAGACGACAGCCGCAAACATGAACTCGGTCAGCAACTCAAGTTCGAATCTTGAGGAATAAAACGACCCGTCACAATGTGCCGCGACGATCAAATTGAAAATGTTTACAAAGGTCTCAGAAGCGTTGAATAATTGCAAAGAGAGTAACACCAAATTACCGACATAAGGGATGTACAAGTCTTTGAAGTCCTTAAATAAATAACAGAAAATAGTGATGAGCAAATCGTAAGTGTTGTTGAAGACACTCTCAGACTTTGGGATAAGGTCGGTAGAACAGAGAGCGTCCGAGTATATTGTTTTTAAGTCAAAGCTTTGGTTTGAAGCGATCAATTCGATGACTTGAGGGAATATACTTTGATTTTGCTTCTTCTGATTTGTTGAATAGTCGATATAAACTCCATTGAGGAAGACGTACTTTGGAAGAAGTTTCAGTGAATTTCTTTTCTCAATCAACTCACTGAGTAAAGTGGGTTTGTCTTCTGAATTGAATAGATACTCAAAATATTTGTACCAAAAGACTTGTTCGTTCATTTTAGAGGGAACAAGACACAACAAGTATTGATTAATTATCGGTGTTGTGGTAATGACGATAGAAATGTGGTTAAATATGGCTTGGGATATTGGAAAGAGTCCAACTTGAAGTTAATTCATTTCAGATCAACTTACTATTAAATTATAGTTTAAATTAACATTTTAATAGTTTTATTGAGACTTCCAATTGGTATCGATGTGGTTAAAACTTTTCGACCAAATTCGCCAGAAGTCATCAAATTGCTTTGAAAATACATATACTATCCTTTATAGTATATTAAATAGAAAGATATAGTAAATATAGAAAAAACAAACTTAACTCGCTTGGCGAAGGTGGAGGAGTTTGAAGGAAGTGTTGAAGAGTCAACGACTTAATGAAAGGAATGTGAATGGTAAAGTCCCCAAGGAATCCCTTTATCCCAGAGTATGGGGATTCAAGAAATGCGTTGTAATTGTCTGCTTTACAAGTGGAAGAAAGCATTCAATATGAAAAGTTCTAAATAAGATGAAGATGGCATCGAAGAATCTATTGCATAAACAGAGGTTATATTAATAGAAAACCGCTTCTTTTCTTCAAAGGTTTTTTATATCGTAATTTTTCTTATCAATTATGGGATTTGTTTTGGACGTTCACAAAAAAGAAAAATGTTTTTGGTTTTGATTTAAATAAGTTGGTTGTTTCTTTTTAAAGATAAAAAAACTAAATTAAGCAAACTGTTGTTTACTATAAATTATAATAAAATATTATTGATTTATAATTGCAGATTGTTTGTCTTTTTTATTGTAGTTTTTTTAGCCGAATTTTGTTGGTTTTTTTGTTATTGATTATATTATAAATATAATTAATAAAAAATAGGTATTTTATTGTGTTGTTTTTAATTACTTATTTAGTATTATATTAATTTTTTAATAGTATATTGTATTCTTGAATTAGATATTATCAAAAATGGTTGAAGTTATTGAAAACAATTTTTAGTTATAAAATTTTGAAAAAATATTGCTTTACAACAATGATCATACCGTCACTTTATAACGGTTGTATTCAAAAAAAAAATATAAAAAATCTATAAACTATAAAAATTTTAACCATTTTTTAAATAAAATCAATAAAATTATTAATATTTATTTATATTTATTATTTTTATTATTTTTAACTCAAATTTATTAAATAGTTCATAGTTTGTTAAATTATTATTATTTAATAATAATTTTATGAAAATTTTATAAAAATAATTAGATAATTCAATAATGTAAACA